TGCATGTAAAACACTCAATAATGACATAAAAATACTTCAAAATAATAGATCAATACCTCACTAGAGAATTGAATCTCTAGATACCAAAGCAAAACTAGGAGTTAGGCTAGATCCTTCAAGGATTTTGAAGAAGAGGATGAGGGGAACAAAAAGTATTCCAAGCTTTATGGTCTAAAATAAGTGGAATGGCCTCAAAGATCAAGGTCAATGCCTAAGGCTTCAAGCTCCATCCATGGAAGTTAGGGTTTTCTTGTAAGGAAGAGAATGAAATAATGTGGTTAAGTGTGAGTGAAGGAAATAAAAATCCTCCACTCACTATGTGCTCTTACGCCATGGTCAACACACACATCTATGGTTAATTGCACAAAAACCCTCTTTTAAAACCATAATCCCAAAGTGGTCCAAAGATATTTGCAAGATTAAATTGTGAACCTACACTTGTCACCAATCCATGGCTCCTTCCTAGGCTTAATCCCACACCTACACTTGTCAACCATCCAAGCCAACAAGTGCACCAATCCAAGGCCAACAAGTGGGTGAATCCTCAACCTCCAAATGTCATCATCCAATGCATTAAAGTGTTTCCATACAAATGTCAACAAGTGGACCAATGAGAGTGTGACACTTGTCACACTTTTCAAAAATTGCAAAAAGGTTCTTTTTAAAAATATCTTCCAAATTTAATTGCAAAATGGTCTCCAAGATGAAAAATAATTACTTTATTTAATTACACTAAAATCCCACAAGTTAAGAATAATTACACTAAAGTATGCATTAATGCCCCTTTATGAAAGAAGTAAGCAGTCAACATGCTTTTCTAGAAAAGTAAAAATACCACTATCATAGAAATCAAATATCATGAATGCATGCAAAACCGGAATCAAATCCGAGTAAAAAAGTGAGGTTGTGCAAGGAAAAAGGATAAACGAGAAAAAGACAAAATGTGAATAGTGTTCGGAAAAATAAAATATGGAAATGACACAATCCCCAAAGGAAGTTGTCAATCCAAGGAAAAGAGTATCGGAAATCATTCCAGAGCACTCGAGACGACATCAAGTGATGAAAAATCGAACCCAAAAAGGAAAAGATAACGGGAAAAAAATATCCGTTAAAATCTGAGAAAAAGAAAAGGAAGAAAAATGACCGAGTCATTACAGTTTAAAACACTTTGTACTCCTCCGGTAAGGTTCCTAAACATCTATCTTAGGTCCCAAACGATCCTAATAATTTTATAAAGTCCATATACATTATAAACACGAATTAAAACAAAGTTCCATGCAATTAATTTCAAGATTAATTAAGAACACATATAAACACACATATACTATTTTAATTCAAATTAAGCATGCATATTAAGTCGATTTAATATCTAATTAACCTTGGAATTAACCTAGGCATGTATAAAAACACGAAATCTAAGGGAAAGAGTAAAAACAAAACTTGACTCTAAGTTTTGGATTAAAACCTTAACCTCTTCTTCCTAGCTTTTCCGGCGATCCTTGGCCGCCATCGAAGCCTCCTATTGTTCTGGTTCTAACCCTCGAACAACCCTCAATCTTCCTTTTTGGTCTGGCCTTAAGTCCTTGGCCGAAACCTTAGTTTCTTCTATCTAAAAAACTCTCTGTTTTCTCTCAAACCTACTCTACCTCCAATAATACGTGAATATGATTCTAAACCCTTTGCAAACATATATCCTATGTATATATAAGTTAAATTCCAACTTTAATCCTATATAAAAACCGATTCCTCTAATAAAAGGAAAATAAAAGAAAAAGAGAATATAATAAAATAATACATATATATAAGTATAGTCAGACATTAACATTATTTATAGATACATATATATAATATATATAACTATCTTAATATTACTATTATTACTATTAAAAATAAATAAATAATAATAGTGATAATAATATCTTTATATATACATATATACCAATATATATATGTACACCATCCATGGGTAAATATCCGTACCTATTAACAATCCTATCTAAGTAGTCCATGCAACTCATTTACTTGGTCCATTACTACTATTCAAATCCGTTCCTTTTACCAATATAAAATAATATTTAAATTAATAAATAACTATTCATCATCAAACAACACTTAAACAAATAAATACAACCAAATAAGCACATCAATAAAGTAAGCACACCAGATAACAATTTAATTCAAATAATCTATTTAAGCACACACAATTTAAATTAAACAACTAAGTCAATTAAACATATAACAAATAACCAAATAATCAATTAATCAAATAAAAATGCAATTAAAATAATTAAATAAATACCGAGACTATCCTTTTAAAATTAGGGGTATTACATGTTGTCGTTTCGGGTCAAAGTGCAAATAAACCCTCTTTGTTTTCCAGGAAACTTTGCCATTATAGGGAATAGTGTAATAAACCTCCCTCTATTTGGAGCGTGTTGCAATAAACCCTTTCAACTAATTGCCAAAAACCTCCCTCGACTTGGGGTGTTTTGCAATAAACCCCTCTCGACTAATTTTTTTGCCAAAAAACTCCCCTCAACTATTCAAGGGGTGTAACTGAGTGGATGGGAGTAGATGGAAAATCAGGCCCCATGTTTTGAAGACGAAAATGCCCTTCTTTCTATTATACAGGGCAAATTGTCTACTTTAAATTTTTTGCAAGAAACCCTCTTGAAGAAAAAAGTTCTCATAAAATCCCCCTAACTATACAATTTGTTGCAAAGTGGTGTTATAATGACTAAATTGCCCCTTAATACAAATTTTATAAAATGGTGATTCTTAATATTAAACTAAAATTAATAAAAATAACTCATTTGGCATGGTGTTAAAAAAAAAAATTTAAATGGTTCATCTATAAGAAAATAAAAGTACATTGGAACAATTTTTCAAAATTTTCGTAAATTTTTATTTCTAAAAAATAAAAAGAAAAAGAAAACCTAAAATGAAAACAATTTTAAAGTAAACCTAAACTTCCTTTAAATTTATATTTAAGTGATGCTATAATGACAAAAATTTCATTATAGTATCATTTTAATATAAAATTTCATTTTAAATTTAAATTATTTTATATTAGATAAAATTACCCCTAATATAAAATGAAAATTTTGTTAGTATAAAATGATTTAAATTTAAAATGAAATTTTATGATAAAGTGATGCTATAATAAAATTTAAAATGAAATTGAGTTATTTGCCCTAATATTAAATTTAAATGAAAATTACTTTATATTAGAGTGTTGTTATGATTTAAATTTAAAATAAAATAGTATATTAAAGTGATGCCATAATTTTATGATCAACGAATTTAATGAAAATTGAATCATTTTATATTAATGAAAATTTTTCCTAATATAATTTTTTTTTTTTTGGTCATTATTGCATTACGTTAATATATATATATATATATCTTAGTTGGTACTCACACTCACATGCCTCCACTGAGGTTTGAACCCCTAACCTCTCTTTGAAAAGTAAGAGAGGCCTGATGTTGGTAGCATTACTTGAATATAAATTTAAGAAAGTTTAGGTTTACTTTAAAATGATTTTCATTTTAGGTTTCTTTTCCTTTTTTGATTTTAGAAATAAAAAATTTAAGAAAATTTTGAAAAAATGTTCCAAGGTACTTTTATTTTCTTATAGATGCACCATTTAAGTTTTTATTTTATTTTATTAACACTGTGCCAAATGAGTTGTTTTTATTAATTTTAATTTAATATTAAGAGGCACCATTTCATTAAATTTGTATTAAGGGGCATATTAGTCGTTACAACACCACTTTACAACAAATTGTATAGTCAGGGGGTTTTATGTCAACTTTTTCCTTCAAGAGAGTTTCTTGCCAAAAATTTAAGGTAAAAGGGGTTTTATGCAATTTGCCCTATATAATAGGAATAAGGGCATTTTCATCTAAAAAAGCATGTGCCTGATTCATTCACTCCCATCCACTCAGTTACACCTCGAATAGTTGAGGGGGATTTTTGGCAAAAAAAATTAATCGAGGAGATTTCTTGCAAAACACTCAAAGTCGAGAGGGGTTTATTGTACTTTGCTTATTATATGTAAATATTAAATTATAATTAATATATAATATTAAAATACATTATATATTTTATTATATATAAGATATACTATTTAATATTTCATACATATTCATTTAGTATTATAACTATTTGTAATTTTACATTAAATATTATATTTTATTATCATGTATTACAACAATATTTTATTAATGTACATTACTAATTTAAGGGACTGTGAAAATGTGCTTACTCAATGATTTTTATTTTGAACTCAAAAAATTCAGGCCAATTGACAACTAGGTAGTTACACCAACAAAGTCAATACGGAGTATGTGTTTTGTTGGTTTCTTCTGGTAGTTATTTTTATTTTTAATATTAGGAGCACAAACTTTAACGTAAGGTGATGTGTAGATAGATAGATATGCTGAAGAATCAATTCTATATTTTGGAAAAATCTTGAAGAATCAATTCTATGTTTTGGAAAAATCTTGATCGGACAGGTCTCTCGAGGGAGATTAGGACGAGCTTTGACGAATAAAACAAGAATTAATTGGTTGCAAAAACCCAAGTGTGGACTATGGCGTTGAGTGATGATGATGATAGCGATAGGTCGGAGGCGACGGTGGTGGCGGTGGTCGGCTCTCCTCCACCTTTCAGAAGACACAAACCATTCGAAAAATCTTCGTCACCCACTTCCTCCGCCGCCACGAAATCGCCCTTTGATCACCTATCCGACGAACTGTTCGAAGAAATTCTCCAAAGACTCCCTCTCAAACTCGTCCATCTCTGCAAGTGCGTTTCAAAACGCTGGCATTGTTTAATCTCCACTCCTCATTTCGCTAGATGCTATGTCCAGAATTGTTCATCTTTGGTCCCTCCTTTCTTCCTCTTCTACCAGAAAGCCGAAAGCGAAGTCCAATTCACATCCGAAGCACTCATTTTCGAATCACGCGGGTTTCTCTAAACTTCATTCCCACTTCGATCCCATCATCAACATCACCATCATTTTTATCATTTGGTCAACGTGAACCAGAGCCAATTCGATTCGTAGCATTGAGCAATGGCTTAGTATTATGCTCCGCAACTTTGTATTTTCAGAGTGTTTACTATGTTGCAATCCCCTCACAATGCATTGGGTTGATCTTCCAACACCACCCACTTGCCAAGAAAGGGTAAACAATGGATTTGTTTGCAAGCTATCTTATTCTTTTGATAGTTCTAGCTGCACAACTAGCTTCAGAGTGGTTCGAATCCATGAATTCGAACCACCACATTACCCACCACCACGTTCGGCCAATCTCAAATTGGATATTTTCTCTTCCGACACATGGGAATGGACAGAGAGCATCTTATCAACCCGGAGGCATAATTTTATCATGTCTTATTACATCTCTAAAGCTGTGGTTTGTGACGGAATACTCCATTGGATGTACCTTTATCATTGCCGAATTTTTGCCGATGATCCATTCAACAACACTGACCAATTTCATACCATAGAACTGCCCAGCCACTTAGGACAACTCTTCCTAGGAGAGTGCCGAGGACACCTCAGGTTTATTCAAAATGAGGTTCCCACTCTCAGCATTTGGGAGCTCAAGGACTACAATGGGCTCGAATGGTCCTTGGTGCACAAGGTTGATCTCGAAATGATGGGATCAGAAGATGGTTGCCAGATTCCTAGAAATGCAGGCTTCTTCTATGTGTCAATACTACCTATTGATTCTATTGATGGAGACATTATATATCTACATACTCTTTGTCGCATTATACTCTGCAACATGAGGAACAAAACTTTGAAAGTAAGTACATTCGCTTGACACCATTTGTAGAGTGGATGACTCGATTGCCTTTCCCTTTGTGCTCAAATGGTGGCCTACATCAGTTCCTCAATTCCAACGGAATGCACTCGAGTAAATAATATTTTGCCCTCATCTTTGTTTATCTGGTTTGTTTTTTTATATGGTCAAACTGTTTATGAAATGTTGGATTTAGTTGCATTGTTTGTAAAGTAGGTTCTATTGTTCATCTTCACACTAACTCCCTCTATATTAAACTTGTGTTTATGTTCTACATTGGAGAGGATCTCAGAATGATATGGATATGTTTCTCTCATTTTGTCTAATGCCGGACAATTAGCATTAAACTCGAGTTTAGTATTGAACAACATAGGCGCGCTATAGTGATATTGCAACAGATTTTAAAAGGAGGAGGTCAATTTTTTCAATTTTTTTCTTCTTTTGTTTGTATCTTTAGAACTGATGGACGAAGCATCCAAGTGTCGGAACCCAGAATAAATAGGCAGGCTGAAAATGATCCTCTTAATCCTCAACAGGAGGCTGCTGCTGAGGAACCTACTCGACACCTACTTGTAGATGAGGGAGATTTTAAAAGTCGCGAACTTCAAATTGGAGAAGAGAAACACTAACACAATGTCCTCTGGGATCGCACCAAGTAGTTTATAAAGAAACAACTCGAGGTCATAAGGAGGGAACAAGTACACAAGCTCAAGGTAACCCTTTTGCATCCCGAGATAGACTTTTCAGTGTCTGGATAAGAAGTTTCTGTTGTTAAAGGAATTTGTTTTTGAGTTTGTGCTTAAAATTCTTCTCATTCTACATCAGTTCCATCATAGACCTTGATCGAAGCAGATATTGAAATCGGATGGCTTGAAGACCAGTTGCATCTGACCGAGATGAAGATGACAGAAGAACAACTTTGTGTTAGAATGGAGAGGATTCATAAGGACATAGTGAATGTTGAGGAGGTGCCATACGTCTGAAGGGGGAATATGCGACCACGAAGGAGAATTTTGATGCTATGAAGGACGTTGATGTGAATCAACTTGGTTCTAGATAGCTTTAGGTTATTGTTTGTGATGTCAAGATAATGACTTGAGACTCTGTTTGATCAAATGAAAGAACACAATATTTGTATGTTGCTAATATTATATTGAAAACAGGCTCTTTGGTTTAGTTTGATCTCATCAATTAGCCCAAGGCTTAGACATTCACAATGAGTATTCATTGCTCATATTGGCGGTTGCCTAATGCCTAAGCCAATAGAAAGATAAAGACTCAAGTGTCCTAAAATGAGCTTAACGAGAATAAAAATCTCGTGTGGAACAGAATGGTAAAGATGAGCTTAACTAGAATAGAAATCTCGTATGGAACAGTAAAGATAAAAGCCCGTTTGATTATGATTTCCAACCCCAAGAAAAGGTACTGTTATTTGGTTTATTATTCATTAGCTATACATTTAGCAGGATTCCATTGAAGATTATGACAACTTTTGTTCCTCTATCCTCTCTGTTTAGTCTTCTACTCTTGCTAAATATTTTTTAATAATACACAATTGAAACCGAGAAGCTGAAATTACTATCAGAGAATGATTATATAATATCAGAAATGTTCCCCCATAACTTATGTCATTAAAAATAGGGTTAAATCACAAAACTCCCTTATATTTTCAAAATTATGCATAAAACTCCCAATAAAATGAAAAAAAATCACTGAACTAAAAAAGGTTATCAAGTTGCTTTCATATCCATGACCGACCCCCCCCTTTTTTTTTTTTCGAAATTGTGTGAAATGACAATATTGACCTTGTTATTTAATGTTAAATTAAAATGCTTATAATAAATTTTTTATATTATTTTTGTAATTTTAAATTAGCAAGGTTAATTTTGTAATTTTAAACAATATTGTACTTTAACATTATTTAATGGTCCTTTATTATTTTTGTAGTTTTAAAATAATAATTTTCAGCATTTTAATTTTACATTAAATAATAAGGTCATTTGTGTCATTTCACAACCAAGTTAACAGGGTCGCTCACGAATAGGGATGGCAATGAGGCGGGTTTAGGACAGAGTTGGCTAACCCCTACTCCGCCTTGTTGGGAAATCATCCATATCAACTCCGCTCATATTTCGAGACGGAGTACCGACTCTATCTCGCTTTCTCTGTTTAATTTAGAAAAATAAATTAAATTATGATATATAAATGGAGGTTAGTGGCTTATTAATAAATTGAAAGTGAAATTTACAGTGGAAAATAAAAATCAATACGTGATTGAGAGAGATGCAAAAAATATAAAATAATGAACAAATAAACATTTCTAACATTAAAATAAAAAAAAAATTAAAAACATATATATAAATATATAATCTGATTTTGGATTAAATCAATCAGAGGTTGTTTTAATTTTTATTAGCATATTCGCCCCTACTCAATTTAGAAGCCTACCAAATTCATTCCGGGACAGGGTGAGGCGAAACCGTAGAGGAAATTACCACCTTAATCAAATATATGGAGGCAAATTGATAGGATTTTTAAAGGGAACAGATACTCGCGCTCCATCCTTTTTTTATTTTTATTTTTATAAATAAAATTACAAAAAGAGTCCCTACTCTATTTAATGTTTAATTCTTATATTTTCAATACCATAATTACCCTTTCTATAAAGTGAAAACTCTTTCAATTCATTTGAGTCTTATATCCGGTTCTATCCCTCTTGTTCATTTCATTTTTTTTCTTTCTAAACTTTAGATTTTTATTTTGATGTTAAAACATATATTTTGATTTTCAATTCAATTAAATGTTTTTTTTTTTTTTTTCTATAATGTGATAAATTTTATTCATTTAAATAAAAATTTGTTTCCAACTAGAATACTTCTTATTCTAAGATACATTTTATATCGAATCTTAAACTGTTTCACTTCCATTTAACAATAGTTTCTTCCCCAATATTTGATTTTTAACTTTCTTGTAAGGGAAGTTCTCCAAACATTGAAAAGTCTTGAACAACTAAAGGGCGATGTTTTCCACTGGAATTTTGTAACGCAGCCCAGACCCATGCTCATAGAGAAAAAGGGCAAGCAAAGAAATAAAGGACCAAAAATATAGAACTATTGGTTGAACATCTTTTTCAAGGAAGTATAGAAGAAAAAAAGGACCCAAAAAATAGAATTATTGGTCGAACACCTTTTTCAAGAAAGTATTGAAGAATGGTAAGGACATTTACAGAATTTTTCCACTTATTATTCTCATAGAATCCAAGGATAAAATTCAATTTTAAAATAATATTGATAGATTGATCCAGTGTGTTCTAGATTGATCTAATTCAACAAGAATAAATAATATATGTTCAAAACCAACTCAAATAGAATTTTTTTTTTTTTTTTTTTTTTTTTAGAAATTGAAGCAAACCAACTCAAATAGATGTTCTAAAGAAGGAAGTAGAACAAAATAAATAAATAAATAAATAAACAAAATACTATAATGAGATTTCCTTGTCTTTTTTGTGTTTAAAGGGATGAAAGAAGATAATTGAATGAAAATTTGAAGAATTTAGTTAAGAATTCGAACTTTAAGAGAGAAGGACAATTGTTGTATTAAGAATTGTACCAATTAAATATTGTATGGTACATGGACACTATTGTAATTTCATTTTAGAAAAGAAAAAGAATAAAGCAAATGAAATAATGGTGCATCGTTAATACCAGCTCCCTTTTTAAATTATACTGTACAATTTTAAAACTACGGAAAATTTTATAATTTTAACCGTGCCACCCATGATTTAAGGTTGTCCAGGCCCAACCCCAACCAAACCCCTGCCCTAAACCAAATTTGTCCAATTTCCATACCCTACCATACAAAAGCTATCAATCTTTTCACCGACAATGTGATCTCAAAATATTGAATGATATCATCGTGTCCACGTACTATACTTTATTATGTCTTCACGAACAACTGTCCATTGAAACAGTAAAAAACCACTATACAGACCATTCCCATCGAAATCCAAAAACCACGGGGCCACTGTTTTCACACTGACTGCTTCTCTGACCCTCCACAGCTGGTGGTGAAAACAAATTACCCACCATTGATTCTACAGAATCCGTATCTCAGAATTCATTTATCCAAGCCAGTCTATGTAATACCCAGATGTGAGATGATGATTCGACAGACATGAAGAGGTTCAATAGGAACTCCAACGATCACCAAATGCTGTCCATTCCTGGAAAGGATGATTTTCCTCGGCCTTCGGAGACCAAATGTGGGTCCAATCTGATGAAGATGATGGGGATTTTCGTTGCTTGTTTGATGGCTCTTTCGGTTCTCTTTTCGGTTTCCGTGATTCTGCGGGATCCACCTTCGGATGGCATTTGGGCTGTTTCTGAACATAGGGTTCTTGAAGATAAATCTCTAAAAGGTACTTCAATTTGTGATCTGTTGTGAAAAATATATTATGGGTTTGATTTTTTATTGAATTTGATCAGATGGGTTTAGTTCTTGTTCCTCCCTATTGCTATTGAACATTTCCACATTCTATTATGGTTGTATTATATAGAAAATTAGAGTGGTCGCTTTTAATTATTCTAGTTATATAAGATTTTTCTGGGTTATTTTTAATTTATTTATTTATTTTATTAATTTTGTATGCCCCTTCTCTTCTTTAAAGAGAAGGTCTGAAAATGAGAGAATATAGAATTTTGTTTAACTAACAATAGCTTGGCAAAACATAAGAAAATTAGATTTAATGAACATAAGATTCAAAATATATTCTATTTGCTTTGCCAACTTTCTCAGCCATTGGAACCGAGGGTAAAGCATTTATGCGAAGAATGGTTCTTTCTCATGGTAACTAATGCCTTTGTTTTGAAATTGTCATTTGAAGTATATGCATTATGTTATTCATTGATGAAGCAATATTTATGTGCAGTTCCTACATCCTTCTTCTAATTTTTAGGAGGTAATTAGCAATTCCAAGTTGAACTAAGCCCAGATTTATTTATGGAATTTGCTTCAGGAACTGAACCCTGTGTGTCTGAGCTATTAATCTGAAATTTATTGCCATGAATGCAAGGCAATGAAAATATGAAAGAAAGAAACCTTGTGCTAACTTCCTCGAAGCATGCTATGAACATACAAAAGGGTTTTGTGGAATATCTTAAAAAGTTACTAGCCCCATTATTGGGATGCTCTAGCTCTCATATTGGTTGTGTTCTACCAACAAAAAGCATGGTGGAAATTCCTTTATAGGTTCTTCTTGTTATCCCTTTACAAAAAATCTTCTTCCCTTGGGATTGCCTTTGGAAGCCAGAACGTTGGGGTCATGATGATCCAGGGTAAAATAAAATAATAGGATTTGTGGAGAATAGCTGCTGCCTTGGCTGTACAATGGCATATTCATCTAAGAAAGAACTTACACTTTAATTGTTGAAACTATAATAGGCATAGCATCTCAGTCAGTTATTGGAGATGTCAACTCATTGTTGATTTGGTTCCTTATTATTATTATTATTTTTTTGATAAATAATTGTTGATGTGGTTCCTTAAATAGCTCATGATCTCCACATTTATCCCAAAGCTCTGTAAAGCCCATGAATCACTTACTCTAACTGGTATTGCTTGAGCTAAGGTGACTGTAGGTGCTTGCATTACTGAATTAAGCCACTTCAAATACTCGCATTAGATTTCTGAATTGCAACATCACTTGCTGCTCTATTATTGCTTGACTATGCTGCATCACATCAAATTCTTCTATCTTTTAGCTCTTTTGCATTATGAAGCTTGACTTTCTGATGATTGAAAGTCCTTAGGATTTTGTCTAATGAAAGCCTCTTGTGATTGATTTTGATAAAACAAATGCATCCCCTTTTGAGTGTTCTTAATGAAACTTTTTATTTATTTTTTTATTTTTTAAAAAAGAAAAAAAGAAAAAAAAAGAAGAATTAAAATAAAACAGGTGCTTCCATGATTGACAATTCACCTATAGCTGTTTTCAGTTTGCAATGCAACCACAGAGTACGGTCACAGACTCACAGTTAACAATAATTTTTATTTTTGTACGAGGAATGTTCTGCCACCTCTTGTAAGCTTCCATCTGCTTAGTGGTTGTCCGATTATTGGCCAAACATAACTGATGATAATTAAACCAGATCCCGTGGATTGCCTCATGTTGGATTATATTTCAAGGAAAAATTAAAAAAACTCCTCTAAACTGTCCATTTTTGGCAACTTAACCCATGTACTTCTAGTTTGGCATCAAAGCGTCTGAACTTATCCAAAAAATTGAGATGCACCCCCTTCCCAAAGCTACTTTGATCGTATTGTGATTTGTGACTGAAGTTTCCAATTGAGGTAACTAGGATTTGGGACAAGGGCATCAACACTTGGATGGGATTTTACCTTACAAGGTGTAAATTGAAGCATTGCCATTTTTTATTTCAACTTTAAATGGAGCACCAGTCCAGTTTTATATGGATTACAAACTGATCTAAGGACATTTTATGTCAATAGTAAAGGGTAAAATAGAAATTTCATAACTGATTTGTCACTTGAGATACTAGTGACATCACTTTCCTAACATCCAGCAAATTGCAGGGGGAAGGATTGCAAATTTTGGATAAGTTTAGGGGGATTTGGTGCCAAATTAAAAGTACAGGGAATAAGTTGCCAAAAATTTGATATTTCAGTTTTGTTTTCGTCTTCATTTTACATTTTGCCACTTTTTCCCTCTCTACTTTCTCTCTCTAAAGCCTTTATTTAAAAATCTCTCTGGATTTGAAAATGAAAAAAAAATACTATTGCTACTTTAGGAGAAGTAGATATAAATTATATGGTGAAGGTGATTTGATGGTGAAGAATGGAAACTTATTATCAGTCATGGAGGAGAAGAAGTTTGATGCAGCTGCAGTGGTTTCTAGTAGATGATATCAGTAACTAATGGGTTGGGTTTGTTTGTAGTGAAAAAGTTTGACTTTTAATCAAACTTATAATAAATATGGTCGGGCAATCGGATCAAAATGATTAAAAAATTGATAGAAGGGTAGAATAGTCAATTGTATAAGAATAGGTGACATGCATTGCACCTGACTATTTTTCTGTTCTTTTACTAATGACGAACTAATGGCAGGGGGTAATTGCAACATCTTGAGTAAGCTTAAGGGGGTTTGTTTGCCAAATTAGTAGTTGAAGAGGGAGGAGGAGGGGAGGGCTGGTGTGTTAGGGTTATACAAAGATTTGATAGTTAAGGGAGGATTTTGCAATGTGCCCTACTAAATTTGCTTTTAAATAGATAGAGAATTCCATCATCGTTATCCATATGAAATTGAGATTTATATGGTAAATATTGTTTGATTGGAAAGAAGAAGGGAGGTGGAGAAAACATCCAATGACGAAAGTGAAACAAACTAAAACTAGAACCATGCCTCCAATCACAAAAACAACCCAAGAACCAATATCTAGGATGGCGAGGGACACCCTTTTCTTCCTAATCAACTCATTGTAAATAGCCTCTTTTCTAATCAAGTTATCATAAAACCAATAATCCCATTTTAATCATAATAGCCAATGCTTCCAAAACTTCCCTTATCAATTCATTGCATATATATATATATATATATATATGTATGTATGTATGTATGTATGCTCAAGTGAAATGGATAGTTGGAGTAGAGTTGTCATAAAAGCATAACTAGCTGTCGGGATTTATCCCTGTCTCTCCCTGTCTATGGTTTTTTTTTTTTTTTTTAACAACCCTACTTTCAACTTTAAGCTTAAATGCTTAGGCTCTTTCTTGTGTTAGTTGTTTAGATCTCATGCCAAAAGATTATATAAATCAACTGAAATTTGAAGCAGTGGATGATCATTCTTTTTTAGTTAATATTTTTACTTTCCTTGCGGTACTTTGTTGAGGTAATATTTCTTTCGATGTATTTAATAAGATACTATTTATTTCTGCTATTTTTGTTCATGAAATCATATGGTATGAAGATTTAGAAGTGGAAACAAAATACAAATAATAAGAAAAAAAAATGCATATATAAGAGAGTTTCTGAGGATGATAAGAGTAAGAAACAAAAGGATTTAAAACGATATTAGAAATTAGAAAAATGGTACTTAGAGAATTGTAAACAAAACTAGACAAAATGCATTGAATAAGTTTTTTGAAAAAGTAGGTACAGAATAGGGAGAACAAGTAATTTATAGGTTAGCAAAAAGTAGAAATAGATTGAATAGAAATATGTCGAGTTAGATGCATTAAGCATATAAACCAAACAATTTTAGTTTTAGATGGATATGCAAATTATTTTCAAAATTATTAAATGAGAAATATTCTTGAGAAAAACTTGCCAGTAATGAACCTAATATAGGACAAGTCAAATCGACAACAAAGCGGTAGAGAGAGCACTTAAAAAGATTGGGAAATATTAAAACTGATGGACTTAATGAAATATACAAGGCATGAGAAACTTAAAAATGGCTGAATTGAATAGTTCAATAAAATTTTAAGTAGGCATGATGTAGATGAATGGAAAAGTTTTTAATGTGGTGCCAATTTTGAAATAAAGGAAATAAGTTAAATAACAGAAGTTTTACTAAGGTCAACACTAAACCTTTATCTGTTTACAATAATTTTAGATGAAATAGCGAAAGATAATAGTTTTAGATGAAATAGCAAAAGATAATAGTTTTAGATGAAATAGCGAAAGATAATACAAAGAGACATTTCATGTTGCATGTTATTTACTAATGAAAGTTATGTTAGACTCTTTTAATGAACCCTAATATCTTAAAAATGGATAATTCCATGATGCATGTTCTTTCGGGATGACATAGTGCTATTAGATGGTAAGAAACTTGGGATAAATGCATTGAAGTCAAAAGGTTTAAAAATTAGTAGAACTAAATCGGAATAAATAGAATGTAAATTTAGTGATGCTATAGAAAATGATAATATTGGAATAACAATTCAAAGACCAAAGCATTACTAAAAGTAACTATTTTTTATATGTAGGATCAATAATACAAAAGGACGGAGACGTTGATGATGATGTAAGTAGTAGAATAGAAATATGTTGGACAAAGAAGAGACAACCTAATTGTGTTCTATGCCATAAACGAATATCAAATTAGCTAAAAGGAAAAGTTTATAGGACAGTTATTAGACCTGCTAGCTTACATGGAGTTATGAGCGTTAAAAAAAAAAAAAACAAGGGTACCATATTAATATAGCTGGAATGCAAATTTTGAGATGGATGTTAGAAATAGCTAGTTGTGATAAAGTTAATAATCAAAGTGTAAAGGAGAAATTAGAAGATACACCTATTAGTGACAAAATTAGATAAAGTAGACTTGTGTGGTATAGACACATTCAATGCCATTTAAAAAAAGAGATTGGTTTCGTAGATGGTAAGAGACAGAGATGACGACCAAAATTAACATTGAATGAAGTAATAAAAAATGATTTAAAATTTTTAAATCTAGTAGGTGAAATGGCTTATGATATAATAGAATGAAAAAAATAAAAAAGAATCTATGTAGCTACTGTCTGACCCTGGTCATACAGGAAATGGTAAGGATGATGATGATGATCTTAAAAATGGAAACATGAAGAAATACAATAGAGTCAAAAGGTTTGAAAATTAGAAGTCAAACAAAATGTATGGAATATAATTTTAGTAAAGGTACAAAGAATGACAATGTAATCATAACAATTCAAAACTTGATGGTTATTCAAAATAACCATATTCGAATTTCAGGATTAATGACAAATAAAGATGAGGCAATAGGCAATGTAACAATTAGGATTGATACAGACTGGACTAAATGGATACAAATTGGTAGTATCTTATGTGGCAAGAGAATACTAAACAAGTTTAAATGGAAAATTTTACTGCCTAATCATTTAGCCAACTATCGTATATGCAGCAGAATGTTCAGAATTAAGAAACATGAATGACACATCCAAGTAGTAAAAATGAGGAGGAGGAGACGGAAGATAGGACCAGTAGAATAGGCATGATTAATAGTCAACATGTGAGAGAGGGAAATTAGAAGTTACAGATGATGTTGTAGACATATATAATCTGGGCCAAAAGATGTACACAGAGAGAAAGAACACTTGTTAAAGTAGAAGGTAAGAGACAAAAGTGCAGACGAAAAATAACATGGAATAAAGTAGCTTAGACCTTAAGAGATTTGATATAATAAGGGATATGGTTTGAAATAACAAAGAGTGGAAGAAGAGGTTTTATATGGCCAATCCCATTTGTTTGAGATCAATGCAAGGAGGATGATGATGAATCCTCTCTTTCATGACATGGCATGAGTTCCACAACCTGTTCTATCATAAAGTTTGACATTGAGTTGGTAGCACAACTCCATGTATTTGTTTTATCACCTTTGGGTTCACTAAAATGAGGATTAGATATTGTGTTTCATCCTCTTACCTAATTTGAAACCCCCCTTAGAAGGTTTGCAGAAGATGAAACGTGATTTTACAAGAATTATATCATCTCTTATTGAATTGTAGTCATAATCACTTTTTGAAACTTTTTTATTTTAAAATATCGTGAACTGTTGAAAAAATCCGTCTTAATCATGATCTACTGTCCATTCACTTCTTTTAGTTTTAAAATTTTCTGAGTTAGAAATTGAAATTTGTTGGGAAGACGTAACACGCAGTATGCAATACGCATGAAGTATGACAAGCCCTTCAACAAAGGCAGGGCCTGACACAGCACAAAAAAATATTCAGGCCAACCAACTGAAGGAGGGTAATAATCCCCTTGATAAATGATAAGAATGACCCTTCTATAATTCTATTAGCTGAAGTCCATGACCTCCTTTTCATCTGCTGATTGAGGAATGCACTTAATATCCACATTTCCTGTTAAAGTTCTATTACTTTCTTGTTTTGCTTCTTAAACTTACTCTCTTTTTTTTCCCCTTTTGCTAGTCATAGGTTCAGAAGATGGTGATTCCTCTCAGCAGGTTGAGGTGCCTAAAGATATACTACTTGGAGGCCTTCTCTCTGATGGGTTTGATGAAAGATCTTGTTTCAGCAGGTACCAGTCAGCCTTGTACCGCATAGAATCAGGACATAAACCTTCATCTTACCTCATCTCCAGGTTGCGAAATTATGAAGCACTTCATAAACGATGTGGTCCACATACGGATTCGTATAACAAAACCTTGGAGAAACTGAAGTCTGGTCAACACGGTGGTGTCTCGGATTGTAACTATGTGGTGTGGATATCCTTTAGTGGTTTAGGGAACAGGATACTAACCCTAGCTTCAGCATTTCTGTATGCTCTCCTGACCAACCGAGTCCTACTTGTTGACCGTGGAGTTGACATGGATGATCTCTTCTGTGAACCAATTCCTGAGGTTTCCTGGTTACTCCCTTCAGATTTTCCCATCACTAGTCAGTTCAATAGCCTGCATAAAAAATCTCGTAGACGTTATGGGTATATGCTGAAGAATGGTATTTTAACAAACTCATCTGGCTCTGTGATGCCACCCTTTGTCTATCTCCATCTGACCCATGATTATGATGATCATGATAAGCTTTTCTTCTGTGATCAAGATCAAACTTCTCTTGAGAAAGTACCTTGGTTGATTATGAAATCAGATAACTACTTCATTCCTTCTCTCTTCTTGATTCCTTCTTTTGAGCAAGAACTAAGTAATCTCTTCCCAGAGAAAGAAAAAGTTTTCCACTTCTTGGGTCGGTATCTCTTCCACCCAACAAATCCAGTATGGGGGCTTGTTATGAGGTACTATCAAGCTTATTTAGCTAAAGCAGACGAAAAAATTGGCATCCAGATTAGAGTTTTTGATACTGGAATTGGGCCGTTTCAACATGTATTAGATCAGATTTTAGCTTGCACCATGAAAGAGAATCTGCTACCTTTAGTTAACCTGCGGGAACCTATCATGAACCCATCTGGAAATCAGAAGACCGTTGCTGTGTTGATGACATCTTTGAACGCTGGGTACTTTGAGCATGTAAGAAATCTGTACTGGGAACATCCAACCATGACAGGTGAGGTGATTGCAGTTTATCAGCCAAGTCATGAAGAGTTTCAACAAACTGAGAAGCAGACGCACAATAGGAAGGCTTGGGCAGAAATGTATTTACTGAGCTTGACTGATAAGTTGGTGACAAGCTCATGGTCTACTTTTGGTTACGTAGCTCAAGGTCTGGGAGGGTTGAAACCATGGATTCTCTACAAGCCTGAGAATCGAACAGCCCCTGATCCACCTTGCTTTCGAGACATATCCATGGAGCCTTGTTTCCACGCCCCTCCTTTCTATGACTGTAAGAAGAAGGTAGGGGCAGACACGGGTAATCTTGTTCCTCATGTGAGGCATTGTGAGGACATGAGTTGGGGTCTTAAACTGGTTGATCACACGAAAGATTTATAGACATGCATGCTATTATGGGTAGTCATTTGTTGTTACAAATTCTTGTTAGTTTGTGTAAAATAGAACCAGTGAAGTTTTCAAATTTGAACCTGAACCTTTTAAATTGCTGAGCATATGGCCTTTGCCATCTCAGATGTCCCCATATGAAGCCATTTAGATCTCTAGACCCGTGACACAGACTTTGGGGTCTCAAGCTTTTGGAGTTTGAGACCGTTAAAAGAGTAAATGCATTTAGAATGCTTTTGATTGTTTGTTTGGTCATTTCAATTAGGTGCCAATGCTAATATCCTCCAAAGGCCAATCTTTTTTATTTATTTTTTTTTTTTTGGTACTCACACGTCTCTTCTGAGACTTGAACCCCTGACCTTTCTTTCGGAGATAAAAGCCCGATACCGCTAGGTCACTGGCTTGTTGGTCCTCCTAAGGCCAATTGGATTTCATTTTTTTTTTTTTTTTTTGTTACAGCAGTGATATTACATTGACTAGTCGCAGGATGTCTTTCGTTTTCGTTCCTCCTGCTGTTGTCTGTCGTTGGCTTGTGTCCATAATGACCAAGGGTTGTGAAAATATAGAATTCACATTCAGCATATAGCAGTAAAGAATGCTACCTAGAAAACCCTAGTATGAAAGAACATAATGGAGCTCACGAAGTGCCGTGCCCTTTTTCATCTTTAAAGCCTAGAATTAGGGCTCTAATCAAGACTAGATGAGATGAGACGAGCTTTGGAGTGTTTGGCCTCATCTTGGCAACTCTTTAGCCGTGTTCGGCCTCGGCTTGGCAACTCTTTAGCCATGTTCGAGCTCGTCTTGTGTTTGGCCAAGCCTAGTCCTGATCAAGCTCGGTTCGATTTTGTTTGACGAGCTCGAGAGACTATCGACTATCGGATCGAGTTCGTTTATACAGTAGTCAATAGATACATCCTTCATATATAAGAATCATGGTCCAAACCGAATCGAGCTCGTTTATACGGTAATCAATAGATACATCCTTAATATATAAGAAATCATAGTCCAAAACTACGCTGGTCAGATCTTCACCATGTATGATAAGAATCAATGGTCAGATCTTCACCATGTATGATCAGAATATACAAATACTCCTTGGAATATGAGAGAAAAGAGAGACACTGAGACAAGAGAAGAAAGAGGTATGTACAAACACCTAAAGAATGAATGTTCAAACGCCTAAAGAATACTCCATGAGGTAGTTTAAACAGAAGTGACTCTCTTTGGTTTAATCAAGCAATCCAAGCAACAAAGAAACCCATAAATGTATTTAAGAGTCACATCGTGCTAGATGATTGAATTGAAGAGAAATCAACCAGGTGAGCTACTTTGTCTCACTTTACAAGTACCTAGTTCAAATTCATCGAAATTCATCCTTTTCGTTATTAGACACCAGCGATATGTATTTCAGAGTTGGAACCAAATCCTGCTGCAAGAAACAGGTTTACCTAAAATGCAATCAGAGCATGAGAGAGAGCTCCATGTTCATTTAAATACACATGAGCAAGGTGCTTTCAACGCCTTTGTTCTAGTCATCTACCATAATCATTTATGAACCAGTAGGGATCATACCCAATCCCAACACTTGAATCACAAGTGAACTTATACCAGAAAGTGAAAAATTAACCAATACTAAAAGTTACAACTATATAATCTTTCATTAAAAAAAAAAAAAAAGAGACAAGAAAATTTATCGGAAAAAGGAAGCTGCACCCAATCACTAATAATGTTCAAATATCACACCATTATGGTCCAAGTATAATAAAAACATTTACATAAAGCGTAAATTCCATTTTCATTGTCGCTGACACAACTTCGTTCTAGTTCCAGGCTCCATCAGTTCTTCCTCCCTTCAGACAAGATAATGTGGTATCCATGTCTGGATCAACAAAAGCAAAATGAAGTTAGCTAGCCTGTTGTGATATATGAACAGTGTAAAATATATCTAGGGAGCTACTCTGAGAAATATAAACAGAATAATAATCTAGAACTGCATAGTCAGCAAATGTGAGGAATGGAAATCAGGATATCTAAAACCATACGTTGATTTAAATGGTGCACTGGTAGCCCCAACAGGGGTGTTAAAGGCAACATCCTGAAATGGACCAGCCATCTTGCCACGTGGGAACCATCCAAGGTCCCCACCCTTCTTCCCTGACGGACACTCGGAAAATTCTGCTGCTACCTGGAAAAGAGAATATAAATAAATAAATAAAAACCAAAGATACAGGTCAATCTCTCTCTATCTCTCTGTCTCTCTCTCTCTCTAATCATAAAGCAAACACACACACCCTTTTGCCCACGCCTGGGCTCAAACCCCTCCCCTCCTGTTTGAGGATGGGGAGGTTATACCAATGGGCCAAAGGCCCTTTGGTACTAATCACAATCTCTTTGGCTCAGCTTGATGTTATGAAGATCATCTCCTGGATAGAAACCCTCTTGTGGAGACTTTCAGGTGAATTTGTGTGTTGTGTACATGGACATAATCAATGGAGTTCTTTCCCAATTATCAATACTCAACTCAAACAAAGCCCTTTCTCAACTATTTCAAGTTGAATACATGAATCATGTTACCATTCATTTCTATTTAATGCCATACTCTCAGTTAAACCAGATATTATTGTATCTTTTGTTATTATCTCTAACAATGCTACTTTTGGTCTTCCCTTTTCCCCTAGAATTACCCTCAAGAGTAACCATGCCACTTTTCCTTACCGGACAGTTATTGGCTGTTACTGCACATGGTCAAATCATCTTAATCGGTTTCACTTATTTTTATTTCTGATTGGAGCTACTTCAACCATCTCAGAGATGCATTTGTTTCTAATTTTATTGTTTCTTGCCTTGCCTTACATCCATCTCAACTTTCACGTTTCTGCCAAACTCAACAGTCTATCTCGTAAAGTATGGCTAGTGTAATCATTAAGCTTACAGTACCGTGCTTATTTTGGATATTTACCTCAAGCTTGAAAACATTGAATTGGGTGCCTATTTAAAACATTAAATCTAGTGCTTATGTAAAGATCCAACTCAAAATTGGGTTCATCTAGTACAAGCACTAAAAATGTTTCCAAAATGATTAATCATCAGAACAAAACCAAAAGAACTAATATAATTATTTAATCAACTTTCAGACAACCTAGTGCTCTCAACCTTAGATCTTGGTATCCCCGCAAAAATAGCTTTGATCATCAGAACAAAACCAAAAGACCTAATTTGATTATTTAATCAAGTTTCAGTCAACCTAGTGCTCTCAACCTTAGATGTTGGTATCCCCGCAAAAATAGCATTATAATTTTTTAAACTAATTGTTCTCAAGGAAACAGGGAAAAAAAGAGAGGTTGAATATGCTTGCGAGATTCACCTTTGCAAACTCAGCTGGTGGAACCTTATCTCCATTGCTAAGCCAACCATCTTGTAGCTTCTTATATGCTTCATTAATTTTCCCTTGCTTTTCACATAAGATATGTCTTGCTGAACCAAAATCCAGAAAACATAAAAATTAAAAATAAAAGAAAAGAAAGGGCGAATGGTACCAAATATATAGCAGCTAAAAATTGGAAATAAAAGCTCCTCAGGGAAAGACAAAAACCTTTGACATACGTGCAGGTGCCAAGCCCATCTGATCCCTTCCCACCTTTTGCTTTGCCCTTTGAACCACTGTCATCACTTCCACTTGCTGCCTGTTTTCCCTTACCCTTCCCTCCTGACTTTGAGTCCTTCCCCATGACTATTTAAATCTTTTACATAAAAGCAGAGTGAGGCACTTGCTAATCGAGGATACAGAATGGAGCTCAAAATCACAGCTGAGAAACAGTAATCACTCAATGGAAAACCTACCGATATGGTCATATCACATGCATGATTTAAGCAATCCAGAATAGTTAGCGTTGTACGAGTCCATTCAAAAAAAAAAAAACTCTCTTCTAAGGCAGATGAACAACCAAAAAGATAAAGTAAAATAAATAAATTAATAAATAAAAATAAACAAATAAAAACAAAAAAATTTGCAAGGAAAGAAAAAAGGATTAGGAAAAAAATCAATAAAAATAAAATTCTTTTGCAGCCAAGTTGAGCAATAAATCAACCATTATGAGATAATATAAATTTTTAAAGATGGTAGTAAATGTACTAACATACATAAATTGTGGTACTCAGACTCAATAACAATACTACTAAAAGAGACTGGCTCAAATTTTAAATCAAGATCCATTACGACAAAACTATTTTTTGTGCTTTGAACCAAATTACAAGACCATTTGCAAGTGCAAAAGGAATACTGAAAGTGTCATGAACTCATGTGTTGGCAAATTTGTTCCCAAAATAATTAAAAAAGTGTTTTTTTCTTGTCACATCTCCAAGAAGGATGTCACAGGTCAGCTACAAGCACAGGATAATGCACTTGTCAATGGTCAGAGTATTTGAAGACAACAATCGTGAGTGGGTCAAGACTTAGAGTTAGGTTAAACATTCACATTTGTTTTTGAAAGTTCCAAGGAAAGGTTTTTTAAATCTTAGTTTCAAATTTCTTTTCAGGGATTTTATACAAAACAGTAAGCTGTTCACACTTCACAGGTACATTTATTTAAAATCTTTTAGAAATTCACTTTCAGAAAGTTTTGCACCAGTACCTTCAAATCCTGCACTGATACACTTGTTTCTGTTTTTGAAAAATTCACTCCATAAAAATCTGAACCGTTGCAGCAAAATTCTACACCTTACAAAAGGTTTTTTTAAATACAATCTCGAAACATTTGCAACGTTACGGTTTCACTTGCAACAGTAAACTTTTGTCAGTTCACAATATTTCAGTAACATGATTCAAAATTCATGAAACTTTTCCAAATTGTTTTTAAAGTGCACTCAAAAGGGAAACACATCCCAAGAAACTACACAAGGGCCAAATAGGGGCCCTAAACTCTCAAGGTATCCAAACAAATCCACTATCTCTCCCACGGATTTACAATTTCTCTCATGAGACCAACAAAAAGAGAACCAAGAATAGAGAACTTGAGTGCCCCAATGGGAGCTTCCTTCTCGTCAAAGGATCTCCTATTCTGTTCCTTCCACAAACCGCAACAAACACACAAGGGTGCCAACCTCCAAAAAACTCGGGCTTGGATCCCCATTGTACACCCTCTCGGGGCCTCTATCATACTCCTTGTATACAGAGGCATAACCCGAAACACCCCAAACAAAGTCAAAAGTGTGGCCCAAGTGTCCCGGGCAACTGGGCAGTGCAGGAGGAGATGATCAACAAACTCCTCGTCTCTCTTGCACATATAGCACCAATTCACGATAACTTGTCTCCTCCTCAAGTTGCCTAGCACTAGAATCTTCCCTAGAACTGTTGTCCAAGCAAAGAACTCCACCTTGAGAGGAGCCTTAGTACGCCATACAGCCTTCCACAGAAAGGTAGGCCCCGCAGCAGCTGAAAGCTTCCTAAGGCGTGAACGAAAAACCCTCCCCTGAGACTCCAGCATCCACATCCAAGAAACCGCCCCTCCCCCAACCACCTCCTGGAGATACAGCAAAGCCAAGAACTCAAAAAACGTCCTCCAGCTCCAGTCTTCAAAATGCCTCACAAAACGCACATCCCAGGTAGTCCTCCCACTATGAAGTCAATAACAGTCGACAACAAAAACATGTCTATCCGTGGCAATCCTAAAAAGACTCGGAAATGCATGTGACAAGGGCCGATCACCGCACAAATGATCCTCCCAAAAGCGAACAGTCCTTCCACCCCGAATCTTGAAACGAAGGGGCGTAAGTCTTTTAAGAGTTAGGAAAAGGTTTAAGAGATGGAAAAGGTCTCTTACCTCATTAAAAAAAAAAAAATAAATAAAGAAGGTTTCTTAACTCAATTTAAACTTGTTTGTGACTCTTCACTAGATATAGAAGAGACAAGTCCTTAAAGATATGGGAATGCACCTTTTACACTGATTTTACCAGAGCCTCTCATTGGACCTTTTTAGTGCCCTTGTTTTCTGTTTTTGTTTTCTGATTCATAAACCTATATTCTTCAATTGAGAGATGTGTGCGCGAAACATACTGACGCCAACAAGCTGTGTTGTATCAAGTCTACATCTAAGTACGTTCACAATTGTGGCAGTTCATCCTGAAAGTCTTCATCAACGTGCAGAGAGACCGTTCCCAGATAATCATTACTGAAGAACACAAAGGAATGGGCATAAGTCTGAGGAACTAGAATCAAAACCACTGACTGGTAGCCACTAGCGAGATTGAGGTGTCTGCAGCAACCAGGCATTGTCAAGTGCTCTGGTGAAAGTCTGAGACTGAGTACACTAGGGTTGCACATCATTTTCAGATAGTGGAATCTTAGTGGCTTGGTTCAATTTGGACCAGATCCTGGGATTTTCCCTATTAGGGGTTTCTACGTGAAAATATGGTTCTTTGCTATCTACTTCTTAACTGTACTTACTGTGCATGCTTGGTTGAATGTTAAATTTACTTAAAACTTATATAAAAAAAATATTAACTTAAAATACGCAAAAATTGAGAAAGTGTGAACATAACCATTTCACCCTCCCTCTACGTTTGTTTATACCATCTAAGAATCCATCTGGGTTTTTCTCTTGCGCCACTCTTTAGAATGATTAATTGGACAATGTTGGGTTGGTGATAGCAAAATCACCACCATAAATCTTCCCCAAAAATGTGTAGAGTAACAAACTCTTTATGAGGGAATTGTGTAGAGACACCAAAAACATAATTTCAAAACTACCAAATATAAAAAGAGGGACTGAGGCTCTAATAAGAAGACTCGGGTGAAAAAGTGGTAATCATCTAACCCTTTAGGTGATGTAAGTGCACTGAGATAGTGGCCTCCTCCCATGTGTTCTCTCTCTCTCTCGATAGTAACATGCAAAATGCCAAATGCTAAGTCAGTGTTGTAAAAACTCTATTTAGGTTGCGACATGAAGTGAAGGCAAGTTGCAACGAGATAACAGGCTGTGAGTTGTTGTATAACATATGTAACTAGAGTCCTGAGTGAGTTATGAGAAATTTGTTGGTGGATTTGACATTTATCTCATGGATTGTTAGATCCATGAATATTTTAAGTTCAAGATCTATACTGAATCATTCTCTAGCAGGTCTACTTGTATATAGGTCTAGCCCCATGAGAAGTAAGCTCACTTAGGCTTTTTTTCCTTGGTAAATAAGTTCATGTAGGCTTTGGACCTTTCTTAAAGGTATATCTAATAGAATGACTAAAGCCTTTGATGTTTTTAAGAAATCAATTATTATCAAAAAAAAAAAAATAGTAATGCCTACATGTTAATAGATAGTTTCTCTTCACTTATGATCCTCAGATATTACATCCTTCATTACGACTCTTCACTTATGATCCTCAGATATTTCATCCTTCATTACGACTGGAATAACTGTTTCATGGTTTGATTGAAAGGTGTTTGACAAATTACTTCCTACATTGTCTGAATATTGCTATCTCAATCGTTACAATTAGTGTACAAGTAATGTGCACATGATGTTTGATGAATTTCTTGAAAGAATTTTGGACAAAATGAGAAGTATTTGGCTTGAGATGGAGCAACTCGAAAGGACATTACCATCATCACTTTTGGTGAATTGGTGGGAACCATGGTTGAAGTTCAGAATTGACTTTGAGCTTGTGATTTTACTCGGTTTGTGATCATGGTTAGTGTCGCTACAAGACATAGATGTGCAAGTGGCTTGATTTTACATTTTTTGGTTGAGAAAGTAGAGTAGGATACTCATTTCCAGGCATTTGCATGGAGAAAATAATCTGATTATTATCATCTATATGGAGGTGGAGTGGCCTTGAGAATTCTTGGTTAGGTGATATCAAATTTACCACCAATAATCTTTCCCAAAGATGTGCGCAATGTTATGAACACTTTGTGCGAGTAACTCCTGGGAGACACCAAAATATGTTCATAAAAAAAGACCCCAAGCATAAAAAGTGGAAAAGGCAGTTTAGGTGAATAAAGACTTAGCTGGAGCCTGGAGTAGCCTCATCCCAAGCACTTATCTCTTTGTAACAACTCATAGGGAATTCCCAAGGCTTAAGATTGAGGAGTAGTACAATAAAAAAAGTCCAAAGTGCAACCATTAAGTGAATCAGAGCTGTGATAAAGGAATGAGAATAAGGGTTCATTGAGTGAGTTGTCCCAGATATCTTGTTGGGATTTAGCGAGTCATCTCCTTAATGGTTAAATCCAGATGAATATTGTAATATTCAAGTTAATAGTGAATTATTCTATTGATAGTTCCATCATGAACGTAAGCACCATATATATCATGTGATTCCTTGTGATGTTGGTCATCATTTAATTTTCTTGATTTTCCTTTGCTTCTCTTGATTAAAAACTTTTATCTGTGGGGTCTTTTTTTGTATTTTTTTATTCTAAAAGCAGGATATATGGGCAATATGGCATAACCAAATCATTATTGAATATCAGTATTTATATTCAAAATTTTCACCATGCAACCGATAATGAATTTTAAGTTGTGTCACACAATAATTATACGCAACGTCCTATATATTGTAAATTTCCAAACAGTTCTATAACACAACAGACTGTACCACTTTCTAGACAAATGTCTCATTTCTTTTCACTCTCTACTCCCAAATTTATCCTCAACATATTATCTCTATATTGTTCCCGCTATCTTCAAGAGGAGGGAAGTGAACATAATTTGCTTACAAGAAACTATGTGGAAAGAAGTTCAAAATGAAGTCAAGAAGATCACAAGTAAAGCTCAACAAAATGCATTAAATGATTTATATGAAAAACTAGATACAAAAGAGGGTGAAAAAACTATTTATAAACTGGCAAAGAGTAAAGTTAACTAGAGATATGGATCAAATTATATGTATTAAGGACGTAAATAATACAATATTAGTTAAAGAGGGGGCATATTAGCTAGATAATACATTATTAATGTCAAATGAATGGAGGAAAAGCATGAAAGTGTCAGTCTATAAAAATAAATGAGATATACAAAAGTCCAGTAATTGAAGAAATTAAATTAATGAATCATACCTTATCAAAAAATAATAATAATAAAATAAAAAAATTAATGAATCATACAGTGAAACTATAGGAAAGAGTGATTAATAAAAGTAAAAATGTGGAGACATGCATTAGAATTAAAAAGAATAAAAAATAGTAGAACTAAAAGTCAAACATAATATATGGAATGTAAATTTAATAAAGAGTTGGAAATAGATAATATAAAGGTCAGACTTCAAAATCAAATTATTATCCAAGATATTTAGGATCGATAATACAAAAGAATGGAGTGATAGATGATGATATAATTAATAGCATTAGATCTGGGTGGACAAAATAGAGAAGAGTTAATGGCATCTTATGTGATAAAAGAATAACAGATAAATTAAAAGGAAAATTCTATAATCAGTTACTAGGTTAACTATTTTAAATGGAGTATAATGCATGCTAGCTTTTTTTAAAAAAATGGTGCAATAGATTCATGTAGCTGAAACGAGGATGTTAATATAGATGGTAGGGGTGACCAGATGAGATAAGATCACCATTCAAAGTGAGAGAGAAATTAGGAATAATGCCTATTAGTGAAAGTATAAAAGAAAGTAGAATTAGGTGGTACAGATGCAACGAAGATCCATAGATGCACCAGTAACAAAATTAACACGGAATGAAGTCATATTAGTAATGATCCAAGTTAAAACTAGGAGAAATGGCTTGTAATGGAAAATATAGAAAAGGAAAAATCATGTGGCCAACTCCATTCATATGGATCACTTATGATTACGATGTTCCTGCTATCTTCCCAATTAATTTCTGAAATCCCATATAATTTTGTGACCAAATTGCCTCAAACGTTCTGTCACGATGCACATAGCTCATACCAGTAATTATATCATTTCAAAGATCCTAAAACTCAATATAAGAGCATAACTAAAAAAAACCAAGACATGTTCTAATCAAAACCAAATATAACTACAATGGTATATTCTCAGAAACAATTACAAAACAAATTACGCCAAAATGATTAATACATCATCACGCATACTGAGATCTGCACTTAAAAACCAACACTGGAAGCTTGGAAAGCTATATTACCAGTAGATCATGCACACACACATATTTGTTTATACAGATATATCAAATTATAATTATGACTTAAGAAACGAAACACATAAGCATAAATTCAATCATAGTGGATTCAAAGAGAAACAAAACATGCAGGAAAAAAAAAAAAATTATGCGATTTACGATTTGGGTATTTACCTTCGATTCGATTAATGGCGTCTGACGAGAAAACTGAGAGTAACTAGCAAAGCTACGGACCTTGAGGGCTTCTCTTATGTGGATAGAACATGGAACTTCAAGTCGATGGGTTTCTCTGTTGTGACCTTAAATTACAGATTTGCCCTTTTTTGGGCCGGTTCTTTTCTTCCACAATTTCTTGAAACGAGCCCATGGAACCGGTGAATCAGACCGGACCATGCAATTTGATCTATGGTCCAATCTAATTCCCGATTTTAAAAATAGAGAGAATCATTAATCCGATTACGTTTGGCTTGCTTTAAATTTGGAATTAGTTCAAACTTTCCTAATTCTAAATCTAAGGCACCATGCTCCTAAACATAACAAAATGATAATTACGAAAAGATAAAAAGATTTATTTCATTTGACTTTTCAAATTAGATAGCTAATTTGGAACTTCTTAAAAGAAAATATGGACTATTAATATTGAACACATAGAATATGCCTAGCCCTAAAATGTTCATTTTGAGAAACCAAATTAGCCATGCTAATAATTAGAATTGGAGTGAAAAAGATCAACATGGAGGAATTGTTGAAAAATATATGTTTTTTTGAAAAATATATGTTTCATATGATATTTAAAAAAACACGTGTTATGAAATAATTAATTTAAATATACAACTTAATATTTAATTAACATATAAATAATGCAATAAACCCGTGACCAGTCCTTATTAGGGTTAATTTCATAAAACTCTTACTACTTTCAAATTTTGATCATAAACCCCTTACTTATTTCAAAAAATTCCTTATATTTTAAAAAGTGATCACATTGCACTCAAACCCGTAACCAGCCCTTTAAATTGGTTATAAAATGTCAAATTTGTTTTTACTATTTAATGTTAAATTAAAACTTAAAAACTATTTTGTTAATGACAATTTATCCTTTTCATTATCTAATCCAAATGAACGATGATGTTGTTTTTTCACCAAACAATTTTCTTCATCCTTTGATTTCAGACACAACTTATATACATATATCTATATATATATGGTGGAAATTGGATCTTGCTATAGATATCAAACTAACTCATCTGAAACCCTAAAAATAACAACGACGACGTGTTCAACTTCGCAGACTAACACGATGTTTCATTACCTACAAAGGAGTTGGACTCCAACTTTGCAGAATTGGAGTTTCGGGTAAACAATGACATGAATGAATTCGCCGCCGATACATACGGCGATGCCGCCATAAAATTAATCGTGGTCTCCTTTCTCTCGACGGATTCGTTTTTTACCAACTGGCCGGTGATGGTTGTGAGGCAGAAGAGGCAAGCGCTGAATCGGAGTGGGACAATAAACCCTAGAAATCGAACCATGTTTATCCTCTATCGTGTGATGATTGACCATTGCTTGAACGAACAACTCAGATTCTAGGGCTTTGTGTTATTATTGAGGAGGAGGAGGAAAAACAGGACCTCTTCAGAAACGGGCGTGACCGGTTCTAGTCCCATCGAACAAGGAAATGAACTTTTTGAACTTGTTGAAGGCGACCGCCCAGTAATCGACGTCGCCACCGTTCATGGCCCCTACACAGTAACCTTGGTCGCCATGCGCACCAATGATCTTCAAAGACTCAACCCTAATTTCTCACTAATCGCAACACCAAACCCAAATCAATCAACATGTTCACTCCTTCTCTTAACACCCTCAAACCATCCTCCATCTCCACCATCAGATTCTTATGTACCTAACTACGACGGCAGAATCCTCTCCAGCTACCACGACGCCACACCCGCCTCCTCTCCATATCCGATCAGTCCCTCTTCTAATTCATATATATTTAGAGAGAAAGAGGGGTGAGAATTTTAGAGAGAAAGGGGGTGATGAAGAAGATAAAGGTATTTTTGTAATTTTATAAAAAAATAGTTTTAAATCTAACATTAAATAGTAAGGTCAATTTTATCATTTTACAGCCCGATTAACGAGTCTGGTATGGATATTGGGGCAATATGATAACTTTTGAAAGTGTAAGGGATTTTTTGAAATAGGTTGGGGGTTTATGATTAAAATTTAAAAGTAGTGGGGGTTTTATGAAATTAGCCTTAATAATAATAAATAAAGAACCTGAACCGAGGCTAGTATTAGATACTATATTCTTAAGACAATTTACGACCTGCATGGTGCTGATGGACTCCATGGCGTTTGTCTCACAAAATACAACAGTCTGCATCCACCAGTAGCAGAACTTCAAACTCATGGATACGGCAAACCTCCTTTGTGTAATACTTTCTCAAACTCAATAATGCATCTGTAATGTATAAATGATAAAATTGGTGCAACTCGAACCATATGGCTCGAACCAATTTTAATATGACTTGGTGAAATTAGAATTGGGTCTAAGTGACTCGGACCACTTGACCTATTGTTTAAACCCACTTGGATTGGGTTCAAATATAGAAAGGGAGAGAAAAAAATCAAAGAATTGAACGAATTGCAAATGGCAGCCATGTTGGGTATTTATAAACAAAATGAAGTCTATTGGGACTGGATGCGTCACTTCACCATCCATTGCAACTTTCCAGATTAACTACAATATTTTCTTATACGACCACAGGATGCAATGGTTCAAAAAGTTATGTTGGTTTAGCCTATAGCTGACTCTTTGGATTCCCTGACTTTATCCGTTTTTGTTCTTCTCTGAAGAACGTCTTTTTCTTCTAACCTTAGTTATGGCAAAGGCCATATATCCACCAAAGAATACGCTAAAGGATGGTCGGGTTTCCTGATGTGTGCCAAAAATGGATATGTGTTTTTATTTATCAATAATAAAATACCGTTCGCAATAGAACGAATCGTTATAGGATAGGGCTCTGTTGAGGGTGTCGAACCTTAAGGACTGTGGTGGTTTATCGAATTTTCGATTAATACTATTTTAATTTAGAAAGAGGATTTGATTTTGTGTGTTGTGATGCAATTCAATAACATAAAAAGGGGATAAACGGAATAAAATGATTGAGATCAAGAGAAGAAATATTTAGGGATTGACTTCACCACGAACCTCATACTATGGTCAACTGTTCAACCTTGAGATTTCAATAATTATGTATCATATGGAATGATCGGTTGGTCAATTAAACATCAACCTTCGCAATAGCACGAATCATTGTAAAATAGGGCTATTGGTCGGGTAAGTCGAACCACTGGGACTGCGCTAGTCTATGGCAACCTAAGTGTCTAGAATTGTTCTTAGAATGATAAGGGGTTTATAGAGGTTTGTTGGATGTCACTTAAGCTAGGAAATTAAAAGTGCATAAAACAATAAATTGCAAGAATTCAAGGGAGTGAAGTACAAGTAAAGAAGGCTAGGGAAATGAATCCACCTCCATCCCTATACACATGCTAGGTTAAGAATAATTTAAGGGAAAAACAACATATATGATAGTCATGATACATAACAATACTAGGTTGCTATAATATCCTCAAGAAGTTCATTTAAATAGGAAGGCAAGAATAAACCATCAAAGGTTCACATGATCAACTACCTAAACTAAAATGTAGCTTAGAACATGCTTACTAAGTCAAGGATTATCAAGCCCTAATTTAAATGGTGAATGCACATAAAGCAAAGAATCAAGTATAGACCATCAAAGGGAAACCCTAAGCCATGAACTATCTAGGTTCTCCAACTCCATGCCATTGAAACCATTCCATGATCTAACTTCCATTGTCACCATGGAAGTGCAAGCAATATGATTACGAAAAGTAACCATCCAAGACAAGATGAATAACTCACAATAATCATTTATAAACATTCAACATTCATTACAACAAAAATGAGGCTCTTGACCATGGAAAGACTATCAAAAATACATTGTAATCCCCAAAAATAAACTATACTAACACATGCTTACAAGGGAGGGGTTTCATCACCTCCCTAGAAGAAGAGTTAGTTACCCATTGGAGCCTTAGAATGAAGAAGAAGCTTGAACTCCATCTCCAATTTTCGAGCTCCCCTTTGTTAGCTTCAAGAACACCTTCCTTTCTTGCTCTATTCTCTCTCTCTATCTTGCAAAAATGTAGCCTTTTATTTGTGTGGCTCTTATCCTTCTTATCTACCACCAAAAAGGCCACCAACCAACATCTCCAACCACTTCATTAAAGAGGAAAACAAAATGAAGAAACCAAGGTGCAAGTGGGCTGAAATGAGCCATTTCCGAAGGGCATTCTGCCCAAAATTCGAGCACTCTAAGCAAGGCCTCGAGCACTCGAATTTAGTGTAAAAATGCCCATGCTTCACTTGCTCCGCCCAGACCTACTTTGGTTAAACAGCCATAACTTTGCGCTCTAAACTCCGAATGACAAACCGTTTGAAGATTTAGAAAGCTAATTCAGAGCCCTAAATCTTTTATGTTATGAGGGAAGTCCAGTTCTCGAGTTTGGAAGGTCAAAATGGAGAGTAAAGTCCAAGTTCTACTGCTGCCAGAATTCAACATTGGCACCTTTTGTTGCTCAAGATTCCACAAGGCCTTATTCTTGTTCCATTTTGGCCAATGAACCTGAAAATGCATAAAAACATAGAAATGAAGATAATCTACATAAATTAACATACAACGGGCTTTACTAATGCAATTTAGGGCGCTTGAATATACAATATTCGGCGCTTATCACACCCCCAAACTTACATTTTGCTAGTCCCTTAGCAAAACTACAATGACAAACTTAATGAAAAGACAACCATGGGCTTGCTACTACAAAAATATCATCCATGGTAAAATAAGATATATACATTGCTCAAAAATAACTTGAAATAGAAAAAGAACTGGAGATGGGGTCATTGGGAAGACTACCTTGCATATATGAAGCATTGATACAAAAATTGGCTAAATACATTTCCACATATATGCATCAACATCAAAGTCTATATAAATAACTCAATTATCATCTCTTGAATGGAAATCAACTCTAGCTTCAGTGAAAGTGAATTGGATTCTCAACATGCGGCTTTTACTTTCTTTTCCAATTCTAAAGCACAAGTTTTCAAATCATTGAATTCCCCTTTAAATGAGGTCCCTAAGGCATGATTTTATTTACAAGACAACTTTTGTTGCTTGTTGACAATTTATTGCAACTCATAAGTGAAACATAGAATGGTTGTGCAATGCTAAAGTCCCT